CCACCAGAGCAAGAATTTTCAGAGTAAATGAAGTACTTAATGTTTCTTATTAAAGTGATTAGTACAAAAAGGCTATGACTAATGGTTTTATTACTTCTAGTCCTGAAAAGCTGTCTGTACAGGAGATGTTTAAGCAATATATCTTTCTGAATTGAGGGATGATGAAACATACATGTAATTGCTTATATGAATCTTATATCTGTGCTAATTATGTATTTGAAGTTATTTTAAATAATTGCTTTAAAAAATTTGGCTTTGATTAGTTTGTGGCATGACCATATGTGAAGGTCAACAAATCTCCCCACAAGCAGCAATAAAACTGGACAGATGGTCTAAAACAAGCTATTCTGGCACTGTGGAAATTGACTAATAGCAGTCAGCAAACTGAGAAGTGTTTCTTTCTGCGAACAACTGAACTTTGGGTAAAAACAGTGTGAGTCTAAGGTGTTTGTGCTTTGGGTAAGAACACTGTGAGTCTGAGGTGTTTGTGCTTTGGGTAAGAACAGTGTGAGTCTAAGGTGGTACTGTTATTTTCTTTCCTCAGCTCCATAGGCAAGGTTGGTCACCTAGGGCAGAGCAGGCTGTGAAAACCAGCAGCTTCACTGCTGCACCAAGAAGGCGTAATTGACTTGGAGAACTGTTTAGACTTTAATGGCAAGTGACTAGTGGTGAGTAGGTTGGGGGAGGGTAGGTAGGGGATTGAGTGTCTCTGACTCTATACACCTGAAGTTGTAGCTTGTTCAGCAGAAATAGTAGACAGACAGACTAGCCGCAGATTTAGCAGAGACTTCTGGGAAGTGAGACAGAGAGGATGCTTGATAACTCTTCACAAACTGTAAGTTGATTAGAGAGTGCGTATGCCCAGCAGGGACCAGAGTGGACCCAAGCCACTTAAACTTACCTGTCTGCTGGAGCTTGCATGCACACCCTGAGAAGATGGGAGAGGACCCAAAAAAGTCCAGGAGAAGGTAAAAGGTGGGGCAGACTTGAAAATGGCCCTAACATTGAATGCTCTCAACTCACACACAGACTAGTCAACAACACATAGTTAGGAATTTTACTGGCTTAAGGTGTTTGAGCATTTGTTGACTAGTCCTTCCCTTAGCTTTGCTATGCAGATACAGAATTGATTGCTAGAAAGTTATGTTTGGGGGCATAAAAGCCAAAAAAAACAAGAAGGGAGATCAATGGCCATTCATTGTGGAGACATAGAAATCATAGATTTAGTCCAAGTGAATTACTAAACAAAGACAGCAGCAACCTTTAGGGGATAAATCTTAATTGAGAATTGCTGCAATATATTACCTAAAATTTCTAATATTTAATAAAATATTATAATAGATACAAAGAAACCAAATATACATGTAACTGAGCCACTTTGCTATGTAGCAGACATTGAACACAACTTTGTAAATCAACTATGCTTCAGTGAAATGAAAACAAAACCAAGTATAACCATAATCAAGGTGGAACAAGCAGTAAGTATCAGTTGTCTTTGGCCAGAAATTTTGGATTTAGAAGACAGAGACTTGATAGAACTAAGTGAAGTGATGTTAAAAGTCTTAAGAAAAGGATGATGACAGTGACTTGAATAAAGAATCACAAAATAATGGAAATTATATGAGAACCAGTAGGAAATTTGGAGTTGAAGAGTACAGTACCTGAAGTGAAACATGTATTAGAGAGACTCAACTGCAGATTTGAGATGGCAGAAGAAGAACATTTGTGGGTAGGCTAAGAGAGAGACCTGACTTGGGTAGGAGAGCAGATGAAAAATGAAAAAGGCCTCAGAGACCAGTGGGGCATCTGGCACACCAACAGATGTATCATCATGGGAGTCACAAAAGAATCCAGTGAAAAAGCAATAACAATAACAACAACATTTTTTAACAGTACTGGGTGAAAACTTCCCAAAGTTGATGAAAACTGTTACTTTTGGATCCAAAAAGCTAAGTGAGTTCCATGTGGAAAAATCCCAGAGATCTGCACCTATGCACATCATAGTCATTGTTGAAAGAGAGGGAAAATCTTTATTGCATAAGACAAATGACATATTAATACTATGTGTGGGAGAACAACAAGATTAATGGTTGACTTCTCATCAGAAGCAACAGAGGTCAAAGACAGTGGAATGATGCATTTGGTGCTCAGAGAACAAAACTGTCAACCAAGATTTCTATATCTAGCCAAAGTATCCTGCACAAATAACAGTAAACTAAAGATATTTCCAAAAAACAATTTTTCTTGGTTTACAAGAAATATTAAAGATGATTTTTCAGGCAGAAAATCGTGCCAAATGGAAATTCCCAGGAGGAAATGAAGAGTGCTAGAAGTGGTGATTATGTGGGTAAATATATTATGCTCTGTACATAGATATTTTTAACATTTTAAAAAACATGCAATTGAGTCTACGGCCATACCACCCTGAATGCGTCCAATCTCGTCTAAAAAACATGCAATTGTATGTTATAGCATTATATTTTTGGGTTTATACAACTATTCGAGGGCTTCCCTGGTGCCTCAGGTGGTGAAGAATCTGCCTGCAATGCAGGGGACCCAGCTTCGATCCCTGGGTTGGGAAGATCTCTTAGAGAAGGGAATGACTGGCTACTGTCTCCAGTATTCTTGCTTGGAGAATTCCATGGACAGAGGAACTTGGCGGGCTACAGCCCATGGGGTCGCAAAGAGTCGGACACGACTGAGCAACTAACACTTTGACAGCAGTGTATGTTAATATATGTGATGACAATAGCACAAAGGAGGAGGAAGGAAAAGAAATGAAGCTGGGACAGTTGAATATCTGTGTGGAAAAATAAAGTTAGACCTTTATTAAAACAAAGTAACATGGTGGACCCTAGACCTAATTATTAGAGTGAAAATGATAAAACTTGTAGAAGAAAATGTAGGAGAAATCTTTGGGCTCTTGGGCTAGTCAAAGAGTTCTTAGGTATGACACCCAAAGCATGAGCTATAAAATAAAATATAGGTGAGTTGAACTTCATTAAATTTAAAAAAGCTTCAGTTTTCAAAATATACTATCATGAAAGTGAAACTGTAAGCACACAGACTGAGAAAATATTTACAAATCATATATGTCATAAAGGTCATATAACCAGAATATGTAAAGAATTCTTGTAATTCAGTAATAAGACAAACACTACAACTAAAATATTGGCAAATACTAGAGTAGCCATCTGCACTGGTGAGGGTTCCCCAGAGAAAGAGAGCCCAGTAGGGTGTGTGTGTATGTGTGTGTGTAAAAAGGCATGTATTATTATGTTACTTGCTCCCACCATCAAGGAGGCTGAGAATTCCCAATGTCTATAGGCAACAAAGTGAAGACTCCAGAGACCTGATGTGTAGTTCTGGTCCAAGACCAAAGGCCAGAGAATCAGGAGAGTTGACAGTGTAAGTTCTGGTAGGAAACTGTGAAGGCATGAGACCCCAAAAGATCTAATATTTCAGTCTGAGTCTGAAGGCTGGCAAAGACCGATTACTCAGCTCAGTCATCAGGTGGGAGGAGTTCCCTCTTACTCAGCCTTTTTGTTCTATTCAAATCTTTGATTAATTGCATTATGCCTACCAGTGTTAGGCTGAGCAGTCTGCTTTACTCAAGTCTACTAATTCAAATATCAGTCTCATGCAGAAACACTCCCAAAGACACACCCAAAATAGTGTTTGGCTACATGTCTGGGCACCCTGTGGCCTAGTCAGCTTGACGTATAAAATTAACCATCACAACATGTTACCAATTGGGAATACAGTTGGCTAATCACATGAAAAGGTGCTCAGTATCATTATCATCATGGAATGCACAGTCACTCAAAGCACAACAATATACCACTACATGCCCACTTGAATAGCTGTTCTCAGAAGTTACAGTATGAGGTCTTGGTGATGTGCAGAAACTCAAACCCTCATACATTGCTGGTGGGTTATAAAATGGTAGCACTTCTTTCAAAAACAGGTTTTTCTTAGAAAATTTAAATTTACAGCATAACCCACAATTTTCCTGGATATCTGTCCAAGAGAAATGAACACATATATCTGCATGAAGATCTGCATTCAGATATTCATAGAAGCATTATTATAAAAGGTGTTAATTGGAAACAGTCCAAATGTTCATCAGCTGGTTGATAGATTAACAAAATGTAGTATCTTTGGTATGGGAGCAGGGATAGACTATAAATAAGCTTGAGGGAATTTTGGAGGTGATGTTCTAAAAATGGGTCGTGTACAGTCATGATGACTGTACAGCTGTGTAAGTTTATTTAAAATTGTTGAATAGTGTATGTACAATGGGTGAGTTATATAGGATGTACCTCAGTGATATTATTAAAAAATCATATGTATGTATATAAATAAAATGGCAAAGTAAAGTAAATACAGAAAATAATAATCAGGATATATCAAGCAGATGGAAATTCTTTGTTCAGTTCTTCAACTTGTCTATAAGTCTACAGTTAATTCAGAATTTTAACGGGTTTTAGTGTTCTGATTCTTTTGTAATATTTTTGAAAAATTGTTTTAAAACTTTTTTTTCTTAAAAATCCAAACTTCACGTGTCATTTTATCTCAGCTTTTTAGTTTTTACTTCTTTGATTGACAGTTTGCCTTGAGCAGATGATCTGCTTTTGCACTTGGCCTTCAGGACCAGTGCCCAAGTGAGGCCTTCCTACGTCCTGTACACATCTGATGTGTGTTAGAGATCACTCAGACCTGTGGAATGGCACTCTGATTTCCCTATTTCTCTCATCTGTGCAGTATAAATGTGCAAATGTTCTAAGCAAGGCGCTTAATGATTGGAGGACTTGGCCACAGCTGCCTTTCCCTTTGGTAATATTACTTAGGGTCAATGATCATATCTTCTCTGGGTCATTTTTGTTTGTTTTCATAAAAGAAAAAGTTAAATGCGAATATCAACACATTTGTTGAAAGCAGTAAATTAAAGTGATGTTGTATGACTCATGCTTACATATATTTATGTGCTTTATCTGAAGGTCACTCTGTGAGACTGTTGGGTCAGAAAAAGGATAATGGAAAACGTTTGGGGGGAGCACGATTGGATTTGCCGAAGATTAGGAAGAATCCACTCATAGAAATCATTTCCATCAATACTGGGTAAGTTTCTCTTGCACTTACTCATTAAATATTCAGTGTACTCTAGTTTTTTTGTTTGTTTTCCTGGCTATATGACATAAGAAAGTAATGGAACATTTCCATGGGAAAGAAAAATAAAAAGTGAATTTTTTAAAGAATAATACCTGTATATCATTCCCTCTAAGATATTCCCTGTACACAGTTATGCTTATATTTGCAGCAAGGGTTTTTGTCTTTATAAAGATAAAAAATTAAAAAATTAACATTATTCTAACTTCTCCTTTTTGGTTATAAATACAGATTTTATTTTTCAGCTCTGCCCTTGGATAAAATCTTTTTAAGAAGAGTATTTCATTCTGTAAAATGGTTACTATACCCGTCATCTTTGACTATTTTCAGTGGGTTTTATAGTAAATATTGTCCAAGATCCTAACCATATTCTGATTCTTAACTATCTGAAATGAAGGTTTTTCAGTGTTACTTTTATGAGCCTTAAACTGCAAATAAATACACATTGGGACTGGATATCAAGTACTCTGAGTTCCATGTTGATCTGAAGTTCTGCCTGACTCTTAACTCCTGGGATAACCAGTCATACTTGGTTTTATTTCCTTTTGTTTAAATTATGACTGCCTCTGATAAAGTTACTTATTTCCCACTTTGATCTATATTATCATAGGCTGATAATATACTTAAACCTCAAGGGGTCCCTCCATTTATGCAGCTGCCTCACATTTCCCACAGATTAAACCTTCCTGCTCCTTTAAAAGTTTGTCTTCCTTCCCTCTTTTAAAAAATTGTTCTTTACCTGCCCTTTGCTTTCTTCATGCTCTTTCCCATTGAGAACAGGTGAACTTATCTTTCCTGCTTCAGCATCTTCCTGCCACTCTCCCAGCCCGTGCCATCCTTTCCCCTTACACTATGGCAACTGTCTTGTCACTGGTCATCTTTGCTCTTGTCTCATCACCTTCTGGTTCATCCCACCGCTGCGACCAAAGAACAGGGAACGTTGAAGACGTTTGATTTTTCCCTAAAAGCCCTGGGGGACTTTTAGCTGACTTTGTGAACTCGTCCAGGACTAACTTCGGCTCTCAGTTTGGAAGATTCAGAGCCCCCGCCCCCGCCCCAAGCAAGTCTTACTTCTCCTCCACTCACTCGTGGGCCGTCCTGCTGACAGTGGTGTGCCCCTTTCTGTGGGTGGCTGCTGGTTCCTCTACACCTACAGCATTCCCTGTTTGCATTGATCGTGGCACTTCTCAGAATGTATAATTTATCTTTTCTACTACATCAGGAGCATCGTGAGTTTAGGAAGTATTTCAGTTATCCCTGTTACTACCTCTGACTTCAGTGTCTAGTACAAAGTGAGTACTCAATTAATGTTGTATTTTTAAATTATTTCTAATTTATTTGGCCCTACATTTTCCAAAATTTCCCCTAGGTAGCCATTGTAAATGCATTAAGTTAAATTTCTTCCCTATAATTCAACGTTTTCTTCTCTTGGACTTAGTGTTTCCTAAAATGAGGCTGTGGACTTTTTAAAGCTTGCTGGATATTTCCTTTCACTCTCTCATCCTCTTACATCTCTTGTATTACTGTATAGGATTGCCGCTTAGTAAATTAGCAAACATTCTTCTGCTATTAAGAAGATTCAGTTCATACTGTCACTCGTTGAGGTAAGAGTTTCTAAACTTCTCCGACTGCTAATCATTCTTCAGAGTCAATTGGAGCCCTATTCCTTATTCCCAGATGAAAGTATCTCTGTGAATGTTTGTCAACGATATCACTCTTAACATCTTTACCTTGATTTTTTTTCTTTTTAAACTTCTGATAGAACTCATAACTTGTTTTTTTCATTTACATTTAAATATTTTAAGAGTTCTGTGGGTAGTTATTTCTTTCAAGTGAAAATGATCATCTCCATCAACATCTTAAACTTTTCAAAGTTTTATGGCTTTCAAATTAAATATGGATATACAAGTTTCATTTAAATGTATTTATCAGTTAGGGAAAGGATTCCATTCATAACAAATTTCATTCCATGTGTTGGTAAATTATCAAAGTGACTGTTAAACTCTACAGTTTTACAGTTCTAACTTAAAATGTAAAAGGAGTATATTAGTTGCTTTAGCCAAGGAACAAACTGAAACTCTAAGGTCATGCTAGATTGTGGATGAGCTGAGACGACTATTTATTTGATCATATTGTGTATAATATGAGTACCTTTATTTCTTAAATAACACTTATCTTTTCCTTCTATACTCTCCCAATTTCATGTTCAATTATTCATCCTGCTCATGTTTGCTATATAGCCTGTATAAATTTGGTCCACTCTGTTCCTTGTCCCAATTTACAATGTTCTTTTTTGCTTTTGAGATGAACCTTTTGAGGTTAGCTGCCCCTTGTCCAATGTCACTCTTATTTCTAGACTCCTTGTAGACATAAATAGGCACATATTTTCTAATAGGATGATAAAGCTATTTGGATATGACTCAATACAAATGAGAGTAAAATTAATCATTGCTAATGTATATGTCAATGCCAAAGAATATTCAAACTACCATACAACTGTGCTCATTTCACATGCTAGCAAGGTAATGCTCAAAAATCCTTCAAACTAATAAGCTTTAGCAGTACATGAACCGAGAACTTCCAGATGTACAAGCTGGCTTTAGAAAAGACAGAAGAACCAGAGATCAAATTGCCAACATTCACTGGATCATAGAGAAAACAAGGGATTTCCAGAAAAACATCTGCTTCATTGACTACACTAAAGCCTTTGACTGTGTGGGTCACAACAAACTGTGGAAAATTCTTAAAGAGATGGGAATACCAGACCAACTTACCTGTCTCCTGAGAAATCTGTATGTGGGTCAAGAAGTAATAGTTAGAACCAGACATGGAACAGCAGACTGGTTCCAAATTGGGAAAGGAGTATGATTGAACAATAACAACAACAATGTATGTTAAGTGCTTAATATGTGCCAGACACAATTCTGTGAAATGCATATTTTCTCCTGTATTTAATCCTCACAACAGCCCAGGAGGTTTTTTTATTAGATGAGGAAACTAGGTTACAGAGAAGTTTGATGACTTCACTTTGTCCTGCAGCTAGTAGGTGGCCAAGACTGTGACTTATCTACTGTTTCCATCAGATATTTTTCTGGGTTCATAGGAACCAGGGGATAATCTTTGCATTATAATAACATTTGAAATGCTATATATACATATATATATATGTATATATGTGTATATATATATATACACACATATATACACGACACATCAGTATCTGTAGGCCACCCATGTTTCTTGCCCGTGGTTCTGATAGCAACCCAGCCAGGAAGGAACAAGTGCTTGGGTGGCAGTGTTGGGAATGAAAGGCTAGGGTGGCAGAACTGTGAAATGGTTAAGAAGATGGGCTTTGGCATTCTTCAGTGGATTTATTTGTTACCATGGAGTCAGAAGTTCTAAAGAGCGGTTGGAGGTAGAAGTACAAGGCTGAAAAGAAGCCTTAGTTGGAGGGATGAGAGTTGAGGTCATTGAAGGTGAATGGTCAGTGCCTGTGTAGAGAAAATAAAAGAAGAGAGAGGGGTTATTTATGAGGTAGAACTAGTCAGAGGTGAAAGTTTTATAAATGTGTAATGTATACATATCTATTACTTCTGATTCCTTAAGGAGAAGCAATACTGGGATTGTTGTTGCTCTTCAATTGCTAAGTCCTGTCCAACTCTTTGCAAACCTATGAACTGCAGCATACCAGGCTCCCCTCTCCTTCACTATCTCCTGGACTGCTCAAACTCACGTTCACTGAGTCGGTGATGCAATCCAACCATCTCATCCTCTGTCGCCCCCTTCTCTTCCTGCCTTCAATCTTCCCCAGCATCAGGGTCTTTTCCAGTGAATTAGCTCTTCACATCAGGTGAATAAAGTATTGGAGCTTCAGCATCAGTCCTTTCAATGAATATTTAGGGTGGATTTCCTTTAGGATTGACTGGTTTGATCTCTTTGCTGTCCAAGCAACTCTTAAGAGTCTTCTCCATCACCACAGTTCAAAGACATCAGTTCTTCAATGCCCAGCCTTCTTTATGGTCCAATTCTCACATCTGTACATGACTACTGGAAAAACCATAGCTTTAACCAAACAGACCTTTGTCAGCAGAGTAAGGTCTCTGCTTTTTAACATGCTGTCTAGGTTCGTCATAGCTTTCCTTCCAAGGGGCAAAATGTCTTAATTTCATAGGTGAACCACTTTGAAAGAGTAGGAAAATTAGAAATCTTGTTAGAAATTAGTAGACTTTGCTAAACTCCTCTTTGGAGGAGTTCAGCTATAAAATGAGAGAGATGGTCTTTAGAAAGATTTTTCTGAGCTTGTTTATAGAGGCAGAGAGGTAAGGATTAGAAATATATTGACAGGAGAAACTGAACAGGAACAGTTGTGAACATAGGTAGACAGGTAAGTGCTGGGGAGAAAGATGCTTTCATAATTCCTTAGAGATAGGATTTAAGGATGTAAGTTTAATTGCAGAACTTATCACTTCATTTTTCCTAAAGATTTTCACTGATTTAGAGAAAGATGTTCAGTCCCTCCATGCTATCAGGCAAGATGGAAGGTGGAGGATATGTGTCACCTCCCTTAATGCTTTGGTTGATATATTAATGCTGTAGTCTCTTTTTGATGCCACTGACTTCAGATACAGCCAGTGCTTGATCAGAATAACCCTCACCTTTTAGGATTTATCACTTTTCTTCTCCCCCCCTTTTCTGCCTTTGGTGATAGTGTTCACCTGATATTCTACCCTTGGCATTTTCTATAAACTAGAAGCCATATGCAATCTGAGATTCTAATGAAATATTTGACCAGAAATAATCTTGTTTCTGAGGGTATAGTTAATGAAGTTTGAAGATTCATCCAGAGTGTTTTTTTGTTTCTGATTTTTTTTTTTTCCTTCATTAAATTCATGGAGTGAGGTCATGGTTCTGACACACAAGAGAGTAGGAAATCTGTGGGTATTTATGTAAAG